CACCTCCAGGGGGATGCGCGTGCCCACGGCCGCGCCCTCGGACACCTCCACGGGGATCTGGGCCCGTGGGAAGTGCGGCGCGTGGTCATTGACGTCCCTCACCTCCACCTCCACGTGCACCAGCCGGAACTGCTCCTGCGAGAAGCTGACCACGTCGAAGGCCAGCACGCACTGTGGAGCCTGGCCGCACAGCCGCTCGCGGTCCAGGCCCGCGTCCCCGACGGTCAGCTGCCCATCACCCTCACGCACACGTAGCAGCGAGCTGTTGAACTGCTTCATCAGGCGGAAGCTTGTGTCTCCGGACACTTTCATATGTAGGTCCTCAGCCAAGGTCCCGATGACCGTGCCAGGAGCGTCCTCCTCGAAGGTGCTGTATCGCACTGTCTTGCTCTGGGCCACTGAGAGCACCCAGCAGAGGCTAAAGAGCTGCAAAGGTAAAAGGCAGGGTCTACCCCCGCGCCTTACTGGACTCATGCCGCCAGCCCCAAGTTCTATTCCAAAATGCTGAAGAAAAGATTCCTCTCTGGTTTGCAGGTCCGGACCAAAGTCCCGGGCTCCTCGGAGCACGCTTTGCCAGCTCCGTGCTGGAGGAGTCTGGCGGCTGCAGCTTCGCGGCTCCGGCGGGCTCAGAGGACGTGCGGCGGACCCGCCCTCACTCTGCACACCTCCCTCCCCCTTCCTAGCTGCTGCTGCTGCGCCACCGCGCGCCGCCTCCGCTTTTATAGCCGCCGATATGCAAAGCGCCGGAGCCAGGCAGCCAATGGCGACAGCGTCCTCGCGCTGCTCCTACGTCAGCCTCTGACAATCCCTTTAATGTGGGAAGGCTTGGAGGGGAAAACAAGAAAGGAAAATTAGGAAATCTTTCCTTTGTTTCTTTAACTCCTTTTGCTTTTCCTTTTCTGCGTGTAGAGGAGTTAGCACAGGTTTTGTTCTTTGTGCCCTGCCGGTGCCGGCTGCTTGATCTAAGAACAAACACGCTGGGATTTCTTCGTGGTAGCGCAGGAACCCCCACACACTCCCTGCTTCTGCACCTCGGAGGCTTCCAAGCGCTAGCAGCCCTCTCTCCACAGACTAGCTCTGCCCGACGAGACTTGGCTCGCCTCCTCTCCCTGCTTCCCACGGCGCCCTGAATAGCCTCTCGATTAGGAGCCCAAAGGAGAATGGAAAATTGATTTTATTCAAATTTGTATACGCAATTGTGTTTTGCTCGTGTGAGCCCCGGTGATCAGAGTTGCTACTTGTCTTTCAGAAAAGAACCCCGCGATGTGTTAGTATGCATGTCACTGTCCAAATGGCTTTCTTAAATCCTGGGCGCTAGTAGGCAAGGAAAAAAGTTCCAAATAGGATTTAGCATAAGCTTGAGGAGATTTGGAAAGGTTTCAAAGATCAGTCTGTATCAAAGGCGTATGAAGCCCTCGTTAGCACTGGAAATAGAATGGCGTGGCAGGCGATCCCTTTGGAGGCCCCAATGTCTGTATTATTCACGGTGACAAGCTAAGGGGAGAGAAAGTTGAACAGTTTCCACAGTGGAGTTGGGCTAACGTGAATATAATGAGCAAACGCCACATGTATCCATTATGTTCCTCTATTCATCCCCAATCACTGCCATAACTCTCTGGCTAAAGGGTGAAGGGCGCTGGATTCCACACAATGCCAGGCTCCTATTAAAGTGCATTTAGAGAACTTTCCCTCCTGAGGCCTTGTTCCGCCTATTTAGAGGATTTTCTTTCGGTTCTAATAGGGCCGCTCTGGGAAGAAACATCCCCTTCCAGAAGAACAAAATCACAGCGTGATGCTGAAACCTGGCCCGAACCTGGGGAACTTCACCATCTGCCTAGGAAAGTGTTGAGCTTCGGCATTGCCAAACTCTGGGCTGGTCAGGCATGGCTGCCCCCCACAGGCATCCTCCCCACCCCCAGTTTCCCCAAAGATCAGGAAGATAGGTCTCCAGGCAGGAGCAAGAGGAATCCTTACTCATTCTTGTTGAAGAGCTTTACTGAGCAGGGTATGGAAATATGCTAGGAAGAGGAAAGGTAACAGCAAAAGTCACACACTGGAAGATTTTTTTTTTTTTTAAAAAAAGGGCGTTGGATTTGATAAGCAAATTTCCTTCAGTAAATATTCTTTTGAATCCTGATTGTAGTCCTGTTCTCAGAATCCTATCTTTCAAAACCGAGGGAGTGTGTCCTGTTATTTGCTTTGTTTTGTTTTTCCCAGAAAAGATAAAGGAGTCTCCTCAGAGTAGGAGACCAAGCAGGGAGCTGGGTGGACAGTGAGGGTTGTGGAGGATAAAGGAGGTGCTTGGAGTTGTCTCAGAGCAAAAAAATGCAGCCCCAACCATCAATTTTAAAAAAAGCTTTTATGAGATTGGGGGTGGGCGGTGGATAGTTGGGGATTTCCTTTGAGCTGTCATGCCTCTCGGTTTCCTTTCCCACCTTTTCCACTTTGCAGCCATGGAAATACTAAAAGCAATGGGGCCAGGCAACGCCAGCCGCGTAGGGACGTGGAAAGGAGACGCCCCCTCCAGGAGCCCAATTGTCAGCCATCTCTTCCACTATTTCCCCCTACGAATTGCCATTTAATCTCTCTCTCTCTCTCTCTCTCTCTCTCTCTCTCTCGACCCAAGCGACATTTATTTCTCTGGGGTTCTAGAACTTTGTCTTCTTTCTGAACCCCGCAACTTTCCCACCTGACCTGCTGGTGAGCTTTGGCGCCCGCAGGGTCCCGCCCTCTCTCCTCACCCCTGTTCCCCGTTCGCCCCAGACCTGAACGGATTCAGAACTCGGCTCCCCGCTGCGATTCGCGTAACCCCGAGAGTCAGGCCCACAGAACGCGGCGAAGAGGGGAAGGAGAGAGAGGGCAGTGGGGCCAGAGTCGCAGAGAACTGATGTCTTTCGCTGTTTCCATGGCTAGACCCTTGTCAAGAGCCCGGCCACGGGTCGCTGCGAGCCGGACCCATACCTGCGCCTCCTGCGCCCCCGCGCCTCAGTTCTGGACTGGACCAAGGGAGCCCAGCGCTATTCATTCATTCATTCATTCATTCATTCATTTGACGGGAGAAGCGGAACCACCTAATATTTTTACTCCAAACACTTTCATGCCATCATCCACATTCTCAAGACTGAAATAAACCAGGCGTGTTTTGAGGGAGTGAAGGGTTGGAGGGGTGTGGAAGGCAGGTAAAAGTGAAGAGGGGGGAGGTGGGGTGTGGGGCGGCTGGCAGCAGGTCCAAAGCCTTTTATCCTCGGCCAGTGCCTCGGCCGCT